TCCCCGCCCAGAGAGGAATCGGGGCCTCCGGGCTGCCCCTGGCGGGACGGAGCGGGACGGGGGCGGCAGCCTCCCAGAGGCGCCCGCGGGGCTCCGGCCTGGCTCCGCGCCCGGGGAAGCGGGGGGAGGGGAGGGAGGGGAGGGCGGCCAATGGCAGCGCCGCCTCCGGGAGCCGCCCCCGCACGGAGGGGGCGCGGGACGGCGGCGGTACTTGCCGGCGGAGGGAAGGGGCCGCGGTCGCCCCGCAGCAGCTCGCCCGAGCCGGCCGGGAGGGCCGAGGCTGACATGAGGCGCGCGAGGGAGGCCGCCCAGTCAGCCGTCGTCGCCGCCCGCCGCCGCCACCTCCACGCCGGAAGTGCCCCCGGAAGAGGCGGGGCCGAGGACGCCCAGGCTGCCGGAACCCGTAGTCCGGCCAGCGTGGCGCTTTCCCGCGGAGGCCCCGGGAAGCCGCGCTCGCTAGTCTGGTGGCTCCTCGGCCCCGGCCCCGAGCTGCTGCTCCGCCGGCTCCCTTCCGGCCCGAGAGGGTCGCTCGCGCTGGCTGCGGCGCCGGCGCTGAAACGGGCTCCCGCTCCGGGCTGGGCGCCCCCCGAGAGGCTCCGTCCTGCGGGTCGCGGTGGTCCCAAAGGTGCTTTTTTTTTTCCCCCTTCAGCGGGATTTCCTTGTTTTTTTCCTTGAGGACGTTTCGCTTCCCACCCAAGAAGCTTCTTCAGTTCTTCAACCGGAAAGCAAAGTCCAGTTGCCTTTCGAAGGGGAAAAAAGCACCTTTGGAATGGGTGGACTCCACTCCCGGAGCCTCCCAGCCGGCCCCGGGTTCAAGCCTCGTGGGCAGCGCTCGAGACCCCCAGCGTCCCCCCCCCCACACGGCAGCCTCTGTCTCCGGGGCGGTCGGGAAAGCGGAGCCGCCGCATCGTCTCCCCTCTCTTTGCGGGCTCCTCCAGCCTCTGCTGGAGCCTCTGCTCCCCTCCCGTTTGTCCCAAAGGGAACTGGGGCAAAAGCTGCCAGGAACTGTTGGATTTGGGGCGAACCTCTTCGGGGGGGGGGGGCAGAGACAGGGACCTCACGCTAGAAGCTACTGTATTAAAAGCCTTTTTTCTTCAAATTCCAAATACGTTTTTGGCAGTTTTTCTTTTCCTTAAAATTAGAAAGCCTGGTGCTCTAAGGTTGTGCAGGTCAGGAATAGCGCCCCCGGAGCCCTTGGCCTTTATGGGGACGGGGGGGGGGGCACAGGCCAAGGTAGTGTCCCATGGACTGAAAGGGGCAACCTGTCACGTTCCGTCTTGCTGGATCAACTCTCCCATCAGCNTAGAACAAACCGCCTTGCGACCTGCAAGTATATAATATCCTTTATTTTATTTCTTTGATTTTATCCTTTCAACTTTCACATGAGATGAATGTGGAAATCAATAATCCGCTTCTCCCTGGCTGAGACCTCCAAATGTATCTGTGGCAACCAGCCGCTGAAGCCATTGAGCCAGGAAGGGGCTTCCCCAAGTCCCCCTAATAATCGGGACACCTGCCTGGGCTGGCACCCGGCTCGGTTCCCCTCCTCTGGCAGCCCAGGGACAGCGTAGAGGCAAACTGCGGCCAAGACCTTCAGGAAGAGCAGCGACCACCAGGAGCTTTAGGGTGTCAGAGAGGCAACAACTTTTGTTAAGGCCCAGAGGTTGGACGGCCAGAGGCAGGTGGGTCAAAGAGGAAAAGGATTTTGAGGGTTGGGGACGAATGGTGCACCTTCAGGTCCTGCCTGAGGAGAGCAAACCTGGCCTCAGGGAAGCCAAAGCAGGGACCAAGGCCACAGCGTCTGTGAGTCTCTTGCAAGGCCAGCTGGGCAGGCGGGGGGGGGTGGACAGGCCTTTGCATCACCTGCGCAGGCCTCCTCCCCCCCTTCTCTCCCAAACACCCCAAGAAATACCCCAATTGCGTTTACTAGCACCCCGGTCCCAGGTGACCCCCAAGGGGAAGGGGGCATCAGAACCGAGAGGGAGGGGGTCCTGCAGGACCAGCCCTTAACCTGGCTCCATGCTTTTTCAAGCAGAAGGCCCGGGAGCCAGATCGGTTGTCCCCATCCTTCGCTATGGCCCAGCCGAGCCTCCCTCGCCCTGCAGAATGCCCAGCCAGGGCGAGGAATCGCTCCGAGTCAAAGCAAGAGGCTGCTTCTTATGGATTTACTCCTACACCAAAATCAGGGGTTTCAAATTGCCAGGGGCCCTGTTGCAGCCCACGAAAGGGGGCTGGAAGGCCCATCAATGCAGACGTCCCGAAGGAGGGAGGGCTGTTTCATACAGGGCGGGCAGAGATCAGGGCCGCAGCCCAGCTGGATCCAGGGCTGCTGCTCAAGGCTCCGAAGGGTGGTTCATGCAGGAGAGGGCGGGCATCCTCCAGCGGCGGGCCCCATGCAGCCGCAGTGCCAACCACTCCTGCTGTGCCAGGCTCAGGTAGGTCTCAGAGCTTGTGCCACCTCCTGGGGCACGGCTCAGCAAGTCAGCTGACCAGCTCTCTGGCCCAGCTCCAGCACGGACGGGCAGCCCTTCCAGGTGCTCCAGGTTGCTCAGGCTGCCTGGGCTGCCGTGCCAGGACCGCATCCCATCACGTGAGCCTGGAGCGGAGGAGGAGGGGGGGGGGGACTCACCTCAGAGGGAGCAGGACAAAGGCCACCAAGCCAGAGAGCCAGCCACAGCGAGAGCCCTGGTGGGCACCGAGAGTCCTTGCACTGGGGCCCCTGGTCCCCCGCAAAGGAGGCTCTTTCCCAGCCATGCCACGTCAAAATCCTGGCCCTTGGTCCCTCCATTCTAGCCAGTCAAGGGCCCCCCCTTCCACGGGGCCACGCGGTTGAGAGGGCAGGGTACCCACCACCCTCCTGCCGCTCTGCCTCCCCCCCCCCCCCAGGCGGCACTCACAGCACTTCTGCAGGGCATCCCAGCTGCACGAGGACAAGGCGCCCTTGCTGGGCTGCTGGAGGAGGCAGGCAATGGCGTTGTCCGTTTGCTGGAAGACCCGAAGGGAGAAAACCAACTGCTTCACCTCTGCTGGCAGCTCGTAGTCCTCCAGCTGCAGGGCTTCCCGCACCAGATCGAAGTCCCGCTTTAGCTGCAGGGCTCCCTGGAGGCTGAAAGGGTCAGTGGGCAAAGGGTGCCTGCCGGCCAGACCAGCCAACCCAGCCGAGGCCCCTCCGACAGGCCAGCTCACCTGAACCTGATCTTCTGGGCCAGGATGTGCTCCATCCAGACTTCCAGGAAGGCAGTCGTGACCTGGCTGAGGACCAGGGCCTGGGAGTCCTGGGACAGCCACCGGGTGCCTTGCAAGACTGGAGCCAGGACGGCTTGGGCTGCGGCCTGGGCATACTCGCTGGCAGCAGAGGGCGGCTCTGCAAGGGCAGGATGGGCGAGGGCAGACACAGTCAGAGGCTGCCTGCCTCCCCAGCCCCTGCCCCCTCCCCCGGGATGGTCTGCAAATCCCCCGCAGGCTGCTTGAAGGAGAAGGGCGTGTGCCAGGATGTGCAAAGCCTCCTGCCGATTGGAGGAACAGGCTTGGCCAGCCTGAACGAACCGCCACGGCCCAGCCTTGCAAAGACAACCCTGGTCCTCCGCCTCCTTCCCTGCACACGTACCTGCCAGGAGGGCCAGACGCCAGTATTTGCCAAGTGGCATGGACTGTCTGAAGACCTCCGCTGAGACCCGTCTGCAGTCCAAACAAAGCAACTCCAGCACACCACTTGCAAAAAGCTGTGGGCGAGAGAGGGTGGGATGCACAGCCCTGGACGGCCTCACGCCCCTCACCTGGCCCACCCCCAGCACCCCCGTGCCCTTTTTGCCTCCTCCTCCTCCTCCTCTAGGCTCAAAACATCACTGAGGCCTAGAGCCCCCCCCTTTGCCCAGCACAGGAAACAAACTCAACTGCCCAGCCTCTGCCTGAGCCCACCCAGTCGAGGGACACCCCCCCATCTCTGCCATGAAATTGCCTTGATCGGTCGGAACGTCTTTTGTAACGTTAAACTGGAACCGACCTCCTTGCAGCCCACAATTTGGGACACTGCCAGCTCAAGCCATCTGACGACTTTGGGCCAGTCCCCCTTTCTACCCCACAGGAAGAAGGAAGATGTGCACCGCCTGGAGTTGTAGAAAGCGAGGTTCGGAAATTAAATACTGCAAACAAATCCACACTTCCTTATTCTGCTCCTAGGGGCGGCTGAGAACAATTGTGAACAATTTCTGGGACCTTCTGTCAGTTTCTGAAGAGCTCTTCCGCGTTCTTCTCATTCCAAGATCTGGTTTCTAGCCCCTTTAACTGCCCTTATTACTTTTCTAGAACCAGATTCTTTGACCGGATCCTCCTCAGGAATTCCAAGCCAGAGTTTGGCCAGCCAAGCGTCACCTGGGAGCTGCTGACGGGAGCAAACGGGGAGCAAACGGGGACACAGGAGCACACCAGGCCCAAGAGTACTGGTAACTACGCCATGAATTACGAGGTTAAGGACCCTGGCTGCCAGGAGCGGAAGGGGACTCTCCTCCTCCAGTCAAGGCCTGCTCGCTTCTCCGGGGCCTTCAGTTGACCTCCCCCCCCGCCCCTGCAAGCTGCCCGACTAGAGGCACCAAGGAGGCAGTCAGGCTAAGGGCTCTTCTGAGGTTCTCATCATCCCTGGAGGCCCTTCGCCCACAAATAACTAAGGGAGGCAGACCCTGATGGGCGGCACTGCCCCTCTGCAGCCCCGATGAGGCAAGGGGAGCAGATGAGGGAAGCGACAAGGGAGTTTCTGCCTCCGCCAAAACAGCTGAGATTTCAAGCGGTGGAGACCAGAGCCGACCTTCAGGCACCCTTGTGGGCCTGCCAGGACCAGGGTTCCTGCACAACTGGCAGCATCTCCTGACCTTGTTGGGCTCCTCATTATCCCCAGTAGGCTTCTCCAACAACCTTCCTGGGCCACAGGCTCCTCCCTCCAGCTTACTTGGATGCCGGTGGCTGCCGAGTGGACTTGCAGGCTCATCTCCCGCTCCCGGTGAGAGGCCAAAGGGCTCTGCTTCCCTCTGTCCTCCGGGAAGGCCCTGCTCACCAGCCCCAGCATCTTCCTGGCTTCCGTTTTCAGCAGCTGCAAGAAGGAGCTTTTGTCCTTGCAGGTTACGAAAAGGGGCGTCCTTTGGGGCTCCCAGGCGGTCCTCTCATCTCAACCACTGGAACCCCCCTCCCGTCTTTCAGGGAGGCTTGCATGGCGAGGCCCATCGACAACCCCTCTCTGCGGAATGGGGGGTTCCAGGAGGCTTTTCCTTCCGGCTCCATTGAACACAACACAACCGAGGGAAACTGAGGCCTGCTTCTCCTATCGGCTCCAGGCCAGGAGGGCTCCGGTTCAGCCGCTTACCTGAAGATCCCCCTGGGTCACAAGAAGGAACTGGCCGAGGGACCAGGAGGCCAAGTACTGGTAGGCTTTGCTCACGGTCCAGTAGGAAGAGGCATGGCAGGTGGCCACCACGAGGGAAAGCAGGTGCAGGTGGAGGCTGGCAGGGACCAGGCGCTGCCCTGTGGAAGAGAAACTGGCTCAGCTGGCAAGGAGCCCTCCCTGACTGCCTCCCCCGACACCCAGGCGAAGAACAAGCTGAAGGACCCACCTGGGCCACCCTGGAAGAGCCGGATGTCCAGGCATCTCACGCTGAAGGCCAGGAGCAGGAAGAGGCTCTGCAAAACCCGCCCTGTCTGGCTGCAGGCCACAGTCCTGGGCTTGGGCAAGCATCTGTCTGCAAGGCTGGTGCCCAGAGCGTGGCAGAATCCTGGGCAGAGAGGGGTCCGAATGCAGTTGTGGGGCCCAAATTCTCCCAGCACCAGTAACCCTGAGGGCTGGCAAACAGGATGGGAATTGGCCTGTCCTGAGCCATCACAACCCAGGCTGCCCACAGCCCCCCTCCCGACTCCTCCCCCACGAGGACCCTACCTGCGTCCCATTGCCAGAGGGCATCACGCCTCAGCAGGCAAAGCGCCACGTCCTTCAGTTCCTCTGCAGCCTCTGCAGGCAAGCAAGCTGGAAGCAAAAACAGACATTCCCGGCAGTTTCAGTCTTGTGGGAGGCAAAGGCCAGAGCTTCGTGGGGCAGGCGGGAGGGCAGGCAGGTGGGCCCCTCCTGTGCAACATTCCCTGGCATGGGGGGGGTTGAAGTGGAAGGTCTCCCAAAATCTAAAGCGTTCGTCAAAATGATCAACATGTATAGCTACGCAAACTCCACCTTGTGCATAGCTGCTTGCAACACCACGAAGTACACACAAAAGGGGCTGCGTGGATGTCAACACACACAATGCGTCCACAAGGTCACAGTCCCCTCTGTGAAAGGAACCCCTGCCACTTGCAAAACAGGAACTCCAGGCAGAGAATGTGCTTGGAAAAGGGCTCCACCCCCACACCCAAAATGGAAACAACCCAATGGGGGGGGGGGGGAAACAGGCAGAGAATGAGCCACGCTCCCTCCAGTCACACTCATTCAGGCCAAGATGGCAACACACATGCTGGGCAAAGTTTTGAGTGTCCCCTGCTGAGCAAGGCCAAAATCCACTAAACAGAACAAAGCCCAGGAAATATTCCACTGGCAAGAAACAAATCTCTCTAGAAAATGGGAACGCTGCTGCCCACACTAGATTTCTTAGCTTGTCTGAGTTCTTGAGGGTCCAGCCTTCACCTGGCCAGGGCAGACCTCAGACGGGCAGAGCCAGGGCCCGCTGAAGCCGATGCCCCGGTGAAACCTCTGGAGCTGCCTGCATCTGCCCCAGACCAGGCCAGCTCCCAGCACTCATCCCTGCCCCTCCCCTGGGCCTGGCCTACCCTCCACCAGGGCGTCGGTCACTTGCTGGCCCAGGGCAGCCCCAGCTCCCCTCTGAAGCTGAGCCCGGTGAGCTCGGAGCTCCAGCTGGCGTGCCCAGGAGGAGGACGCTGCTCTCCAGAAGAGGGGTCGGTATTCAGCGCAGAGCATGGCAGCCGCTTCGGCGAAGGAGGCATCCAGCCAATCAGAAGACTTCCAGCTAGGCAGTGGGGCAGGGGCCAGGGCCGGGTCCTGAGCTGCCTCAGGGGCTCCCTGGGGCTGGTCCCACTTGGGCCGGTGCAGGAGGCGATGTCCCAGGCCGCCAGTGGACGCAAGCAGTTCTGGCAGCAGCGCCATGACCGCCTGTTCCTCCTCTTGGCACAAGGCCTGCAGGTGTGCAGGGAGGCCCTCGACTGCCCCGGAAGTGCCAGCAGCTGTGGGCCCCGCATCGCCGGTCCCTGCCGGCTGCCACGGGAGCAGCAGAGACAGTCTCTCACCGGCCAGGCGTCCTCTTTCGGCAGCCAAGATGTCCAGCACCCTCTCCACAGAGAAGGCCTGCAGCCCCTGTTGCCCTGCAGCCCCAGGCCCCGGCTTGGCCCCTTGCAGGCCCCAATCGCTCAGCCCCTGGTTGTAGCTCTCCAGGCCCTGGAAGGCCTCCGAGAGTAGAGGGTAGGGGCTGGGGGCCCCGTGCTGCAGCAGGGCCTGCAAGCATCTGTCCAGCAGGCAGAGCGCCTGCAGGGCCAGCAGCCAGAGGGACTCCTTCATGCGCTGCACCGCCTCAGGCTGCCGAAGCAGCAGAGGCCTCAGCCAGGGGTCCTGCCGCATGTGGCACTGCAGGCAGTCCCAGTGGGAGGTGTGCACCCGCAGCTCCTGGCAGAGTCCCCGCAGCAGGCGACCCCCGTCAGAGCTCTGCCGGCCGGCCGGTGTCAGGAAACAACACTCGACTTCCATCAAGCGGTACACAAAGTCAGAAGCCGCTTTAAGGCGCCGGCAGTAGTGGCGAGCCAGGCGCAAGCAATGCTGCTGCTGCAACAGGCCGTTCAGTGTCTTGCGCTGATGGGCCACCCCGCTCCCCCCGGCCCAGTAGGAGAAAGTCCCCCTGGCCGGGTCTGTGGCTGCCGGGCACCCACAGCTGCCGAGGAAGCCTGGTGTGCACAGGCAGCGGCTCATCCCCAGGTAGGCGTCCGCTTGGGCCAGGTGGGCCAGGCCGACGGGCACCTCCTCCTCCTCAGCTGCGCTGCCAGGTTGGGCCAGAAGCAGCTGGCGCTGGCTGGGATGCAGGTGGGCGGGTAAAGGCTCTTCTGCTTCGGGGAGGGGCCTGGCGATCTCTGCCCACAATCCTGACCCTGTGGGGACAACAAGGGATGCTTACAGCCCCTCCTGGGTTTCTTCCCCTCCCCCCACAAAACAGCTGCTTTAAAGACCCCCACACCCTCCTGCCTCCCCAGCTGTTGATGCTCCGACCGAGGTCCGGTGCCCCCCACTCAGCTTCTGCAGCGATGGCCTCCCGGACAAGCCCCCCCCCCTGCCTTCCTGGCGGGGGAACGAGGGGAAAGTCTAGCTGGAGAGAAAAGGGGGGGCCCCAAGGAGAGCAGCCCCGGCTCCGTTGCCCTCCCAGCAGAGCCCCAAGAGGCGGCCAGGACAACCCGCGCTGGGGAGGGGAGCGCCCGTTGAGTCCCCGCCGCGCTCCACCCGGAGGCTTCTGCCCGGCGTCAGAGCCAGCGGGACCGGGCGCAGCCCGCTCGACCTACCAGGCTCGGGGTGCCGCTGCCCGCGATGCTCCATAGCCCGGCGTCCTCTTCCGCGGGGGGCACCGGAGAGAGAGGGGCGGTAGGGAGGACGCGGGACATGAGGACGCGCGGGGCGCCTCGGGGAGCTGCAAGGCGCCCGCCCCCTCCCGCCGCTCCTTCGGCCGGAGCCCGCAGCGCCGGGAGCCGCGACGCTTCGCCGGGAGCGCCGTTGCCAGGCGGTTCGGCGCGAGGGGCGGGGCGGGGCGGGCGGCAGTCACGTGGCCGGGCTGGGCCAGCCGGGGACCCGGGCAGCGCGGAGCTCAGCCGGGAGCCCGCGGGAGGCGTCCCCGGATCTGTGGCTGGGGCGTCCGGGGCCCGGGGTTAGGGCGGGTGAGGAGCCCCCTCGCCTGGCGGGCCGGCTTCTGCAGGGCTGCTTTTCCCGGAGGTTGCCTGGTTTCTGCGCCTTGTAGCCTTTTATTATTCCGCCTCGCGCCCTGAGCAGAAAATTTCAAGCTGAAGTCGCGGGGCTGGGCAGGCTGAGGCCAGGCGGAAGTCCAGCCGGGGTGCAGAAGTGGGAGGGGCGGTGCGAACACTTCCACACACACCCCGCGCCTCGTTGAAAGTAGCAGCCCCACCTTCAGAAGCCTCTCCTGCCCCAATTCACGCAAGCGCCCCAGTTACCATGCTCGATCTTTAAGCCGCTTATTTTTCCACGCATGCTGCTGCTTCCTCCTGTTTCCCCTCCAACAACCACCCTGTGAGGTGGACCGGGCTGAGCGGCAGATCCCTTCCCCACCGCTGCCAGAGCAGTAGGCTCTCGTACCCTGCCTGTGCTGGATCATGGCCCCAAATATGGTGCAAAATCGCACAGCGCATCAGGGGCAAACTACAATTGTTCCTGCAGTTGAGGCACAAGGTCAAGGATCTGAGCAGGAGCCTCTCAGGCAGATACCACAGCTCATTCCACCAACTTGGGTCCCTTGTTTTTTCTGTTTGTGGCAGAATGTGTTCAGTAACCTCTCCACCTATTGCGTGTATGATCCAGTTTGCTCTGCAGACCCAGAAAATAGTTTAAATTAGGCAAAGGCCCCAATCCCCCCTCATACTCCCATCAATTTCAGCAGAAGCCCAATCTGAAAACCCTCTTGGAATCCAGCGTCTCCCTGGGCCTTGAAGGGCACCCAGCTGAGAGCACCTCCACAAGCAACAGATGCCCGCCCAGAGCTCTGGCTTGGTGTGAAGGGAACCACAGGGGGGGGCTCCTTGCCAGATGGCAGGAAAGGACCACCTGGTTTCCCTGAGGCTGGCTTTAATGTAGAGGCTGGGGAAGAGGATGCTCTCCCCCCCCCCCAAGTCCTTTCCCAGCAGCATAATTGCTCCTAATGACTTTTGCTCTTCATTGGGTTACCTGGCTCAGTTATTTCATTGTATTTGATTTGATTTTCATCCTTCCCTGTGCCAATTTGAGCTTAGCATTAATTCCGCTCTCATTGTAGATTACTACAATTATAGTGGTTTTTATGATTGCTCAGCGTGGGAATATTGTACTATGTTTCTATGGAAATGTTGTTTTAATATTATGTACGTTAGGACTATACACTCTCAGACTCAACAGACGATTGGAGTGGTGTAATTAACAAGGTGTTAGTCCCATTGTAATATAAATGTGCGAAATGTAGGGGAAGAGAACTCAGAACATACAGAACATACAGTCATCTGCTAAAACACACGGAGGCAGTTTGGTGTAATGGTTAAGGCACCAGGCTAGAAACGGAAGAGCCTGAGTTTCAGTCCCACCAGTCCCACCAGAGGTTGAGCCAGGCACTCCCTCCAGCTGCAGGAAGCAGACAGTGAGAAACATGGTAAATGATGTGATCTGCACAATAACAAAGTAATTTTCAATGATCAACCATTTTTATTCTCTCAGCATTTTTCAGTCCAGTGAGAAACAACAAAGCAGGATATTAACTTCCTGGACAGATAAACATTTGAAATGACTTAAGGGTTAAAAGAGATGCAGTCAGTCCAAGCAGTCTCAGCACTTTTTTGCATCCAATCTTCTGCTCCAATGAAGCATACGCTTCAAAGAAACAAAAGACAAGAAACAACGGAATCAAGGAGGAGCAACCTGGAATTAAGGAGAAGCAGGAAAGGGCAATTAACCAGTGGAACCAGTTGCCTCCAGAAGTTGTGGGAGTTCCATCACTGGAGGCTTTCTTTCAGGAAGAGTGGACAGCCACTTGTCCGAAATGGTATAAGGTCTCCTGCTTGAGCAAGGGGTTGGACTAGAAGACCTCCAAGGTCCCTTCCAACTCTATAATGATTGAAATATATCATTTACAAAAAAAGGGGGGAAACTCCAAACCAAAAGCAAACCCCAGAAAGCGGTTACATTGTTTCGAACTTCCCCCTTTTGTCTTTTTAAGTGTATCTTATAGCCAGGCTTCCGGGAATCTAGTGACTACGTGCAGTTTGTCTCGACTAATCCTTTTTATTGTCAATCAGTTGAAACCGTTTTATTTTTAAACTTCTGTGCTCCTCACAGGCTCGACCCTCCGGCTTTGTCCGACCTCCCACCCCGGACCCCCCACCCGCCCACGGCCCGGCCATCCCTCCCCCTCCCCGGGAGGCGCTCTTTGCGCATGCGCCCGTGCGTTCTCCAGGCGGCCGCACCAAAATGGCGACTCCTCGCTGCCTGCCGGAAGGAGACCGCGGGTTCCGCTTCCGGAGGAAGGGCCGCCGCTGCCCTCGCCGCTCCTCTCCGCCAGAGGGACCCTCGAGAGGCTCCGCGCTGACGCTCGTCGCTGCCCTCCTCGGCGGGATCATGCAGCGGCTCCCGTTCTGGGAAGAAGAGGAGGAGGAGGAGGAGGACGTGAAGGAAAGAATCGCCGCCTATGTCCGGCACTGGGAGCGGGAGCGGCGGGGCGAGCGGTGCCCCTGTGAGCGGCCGGGGGGGGGGCGCAAGGGGCGTCCGCGGGGCGTTTGCTGGAGGAGGCGGCGGGTTTGCGGGAAGGGCCCGGCCGAGAAGCGCAGCGACCGGGCAGCGGGGCCTCTGGGCAGGGGGCGGAGGTCAAGGGAGGCGGCTGGGGGGGTCTTCGGGCCGGCCCTCCGCCCGGCCCGCCTCGCAGGGTTGCCGTCCTGGGGGGGGGAACGGGCGGAGGGAGGGAGGCCTGGAGTTCGGTACGAAAGCAAAGACGGGATAGAAACAAGTTCCGTTTGGATCCTCCCTGCTGGGTGAGGTCGGGGGGGGGGCAGCAGGCTAAGACTGTCGCCCCGGGCTTTAGAGCCGGGGAAAGTGGAGAAACAAGCCAAAGAATAACTTGGATGATCCTGGGCGGAGGGGAGGGGAGGTAACCCTGGTGCCTTTGGTAGCAGCAAATGCCTTCAGACGATCCCAGCATATAGGAGCCAAGAACGATGTTTGACTGTCCGGTTTTGGGAATTGCCTGGCTAGTTTCAGCAACCCAAAGTAACAAGAGGGCGTTCTTGTTGCCGTTTCTGCGTTTGCCTTCAACTTGATGAAGGAGGCCTTGGGTGCTCCTGCAGCCAGCCAGGGTGGATGCCTGCCCTTCAAGGTCAAGAAACAAACTGCAGGGACTCCAGGAATGCTCCTTACAGTTGTAGGGAAAAAAATAGAGAATCCTGAAGCCCCCTGGGTTTCTGCCTCCCATAGTCCACTAAACCAGGGGTCCTGGTTTGCTGGCTGAGGAATTCTGGGAGTTGAAGTCCACAAGTCTTAAAGTTGCCAAGGTTGAGGACCCCTGCATTAAACCAAAGAAAGGCAGGACTATTTTGACTGACTTTCTTTCTCAGGCTTTCCACCTTCGTGGGACTGGGCGGGTCTCTAATGCTTGCGCCCGCCTTCCCTGTCCCAAGGTCAGATCCACATTCCTGGATGGGCTGAGGATTGCTTCAAAGCTTCAGTCAGGTGGGTTTCTGTCTTGCTTACTCAAGCCTCTTGTGGTTCCCTTTCAGATTTGAATCAAGAGCCCTGCTGGTATTGTGTGATTAACTCCGCCGGGTACGAGACCTGGGAAGACAGCAGTGAGGACGCAGAAGAGAGCAGTGACAATGATGACGTTCCACATAATCGTTACACCACGTTCTGTGGTTTTCGGAGGGCCTTTCTTTGCCCGCCTTCTGCCTCTCTCCCTCCCCGAAGCAGCAATCTGGACGTTGCTGTTTTGGGCTTGGCTTTGCCCCAGAAACAGCAACTTACAGCTGAGGTGAGTCAATGCTTATTTGACCCACTTCACCTTTGGAAGCTCCCAGGTCTGATTTAGCCCATTCCCTGATAGCTGTTGATCTAAACAAGGCCAGCATGACTTCCCAGAGGTTTCCAGAAACTGCTGCTGAATCAACATTTTTAAAGTGTGAAACATTGTGGCCTACTTAAGAAAGAATCCCATTCATTGTACCGGTTTCTCGTTAATGAAGTTAGATTTTGTTTCTTTCTGTGGTGGTGCTGCTTACTTGCCGGCACACTATCCTTGGTGCCAGTCAACGGCCAGGGGTAGCCCTTGACCCTTTCCATTTGCTTCTTGTTCAGCTGCTCCTGGGAGACGGCAGTGGGGCATGAGGGCGGCTTGGTGGGTGAGGAGGCTGGTCCCTGCTCTCTTCCAGGAGGCTGAGCGGAATGCGGAATTGCTAGTCGCTGAGGAGGAACGCCTCAAGAAGAAGGCGGAGAAGAGAAGGATGAAGAAGAAGGTAACCCTATCAGTGTGGCACACTGGTGATGGAGCTAGTTTGCCTCTTGGAAGGGGGGGGGAGCTGAGTGGCTGGGAAACGTGATGCTTTCTGCTTGTCCTCAGAGGCAGAAGGACCGGAAGAGGCAGGAGAGGCGGGGCCTGGAGCTGAAGGCAAAGAGTGAGGCAGTGAGTGAATCGCCTGGCTGCGCTGGCAGGCCTGCCCAGTGGGCGGGTGGGACCTCAGCCTTAATCAGAGCCTAGTCTCAATGGGGAAATCGCCCTCATTGCCAGGGTGGTTTGTGGTACGTGCCCTCCAGCCAGCCACTTTGCTCAGACAGAGGTCTGAGTGGACCGTGGTGGCTTCCAGCTCCGCAGGTATTCCGACTGATTTGCCCAGGTGGCAGGTTAATTTCTGGATGCTTCAAGGTTTTATTGCTCTCTTCATAGGACAAATCTTCAGCTGGACAAAATGAGGGAACTTTGGCCTTGGATGGCGGCCCCCCCGACTCACAGGAGAGTTTCAGTGAAGCCTCCCCAGGCAGGAGCCCCAGCAGGCATTTGGTGGAGGAGGAGGAGGAGGAGGAGGAGGCAGAGGAGGAGGTGAGCCTGGGGCCAGGCAGACAGGAAAAAAGAAGTTCACAAGGAGGCTGGGAATCTGTTCCGGATTTCAGCTGATACAGAAAGTATATTATTTGGGGGGAGGGGGGTTTGGAAGGTATCTGGTCCCGTGTGGCTTCTTTGTTTGTGTGGTCCCCGCCTCAAGAGTGTAGGAGGAGCAAAACCATGAGAACTGCAGCCAGGCGGCCTTGGCCACGTTAGTCCCAGGTCTGGAGACGGTGGCAGGGGCTGGTTCAGTTTTTCTTCCAGAGGGAGGGAGGGAGTTCCTTGGGAGGCTGGCCGAGAGGCTCCTGTCCGGGGCTGAGCTGCTGCTTTCCATCTCTTGCCCGCAGGAGGAGCTGGATTTCTCCAGCACTTTTGTCTCCAAAGCTCGCCGCAAGGTAGACGCCCAGTCCCTGCTCCCAAGGAAGGAGAGAGGAGGGAAAAAGCCCCCGGAGAGGAAGGCAGACACGAAGCAAAAGGCAGAGGTGAGGACTCGTGTTCCTGTGCCGGGCCAAGGGCTCTCCAGGCCAGCCTCCTCTTCTGAAGGGAGCCAGCCTGGCACCCTCCAAGCAGGGCAGGGACCCCTTCCCTTCCCGCCTCCCTCCCTCCCACCCGCTGACCTTCAGGGAGCATCTCTGACTGGCAGCCATCAGTGTCTGTTTTTCCATCACCCCGTTTTCTCTTCTGTACCTGGCACTCCTTCTTCCAGGAAATGACTTTCCATAGTTGCTGTAAGATTTTGCTATTAGCTCGCTAGTCTGCTCACACGCTCTGGGCTGTAGGACAGGGCAAAGAGGGAAAAGGCTTCTAACTTCCCCAGGCCGGGTGTAAATTGATCGGCCGCCTTTTGACCAAAGCTAAGAATCTAAAAAGTCATTTTTCCTAAGAGCGATTGTTCTCCTGCCCCGAAAACATTTTGCTTCCTCTTTTCTCTGCGTCCTTCAGTGTTGTAAGATCCTCGCATGACCTTCCTTGTGTCGCCGGTCTCACCTTTTGCGCTGCCATTGCAAAGCCAGTCGGTGGTTTCAGTCTGCTACAAAGCCAACGTTTCTCCCTTTTCTTCGCTTGCGTGATTTGAAAGGAAACCCGTGACTGTATCGGGGAAAGGCTGGCTGTGCCTGACAAATACGCAGACTTTTGAGTCTTTAGATCCGTGTTGCCTTAAGGCCAGCTCTCGCTCCTCACTCAGGTCTGCAGCTGGTGGGCAGAGTTTATCAGGGGGCTAAAGGAGTGGGGGCTCCCCCCCCCTATTCCCCCAGGACTGGTTCATGAGCTCCTCATTTGTTTCTTGATTCCCAGTAGAGACAGAAGTAACACTTGTCAAAACATTAGGCTAGAAACTGGGAGACGCTGAGCTCTGGCCTCACCTTAGCCAGGAAAGTTGGCTGGGTAACTTTGGGCCCATCCTGCTTTCTCAGCTCAACCCACCTCACAGGGCGGTGGTGGTTGTCATGGGGGAAACAGGAGGAGGAAGAGGATTGGGTCCGTTGGCTGCCGTGAGTAAAGTAATAAAGGAAGGCAAGATAAAAATTAAATTTCAAAATTGGGCATTTGGTGGATTAGCCCTGTCTCCTGGAAACCATTCTTCCTAATCTTGATGGCCTCCGGATGTGTCCGGACTACTCAGCTACCCACCCAGCATGAAAACACTCAGTCTTCCTTTTCTTGGTGCCTCCTGTGGAAAGTCTGGGAATGAAATCTGCAGCCGTGAATTTGACTCATTGGGAATTGGGTTTGTGGTTATTTTGCCAGTTCTGTTCAGCAGAATTGGGGAAGTGTGTGATTTCAAGGGCTACTCTGTCTATCTTTCATAAATTTGTGGGCCAGCCTTCTCCTATACATGACTCTGCTCTCACGAAACAGAACAAAACCAATAAAAGGACCTCAGCCCACAAAAATAACATAAAAATAGTAGCCCGGGGAAGCTTACAGCCCCTCGCGTTAGCCATGGGGCAGGCTGGATGGGAAAGCCAGGTGTCTCCTCCTCCTCCTTCTTCTTCTTCCATCTTCAGAAGCCCGAGCTCCAGTTGACCTCTGTGGAGCAGAGCATGGTGCTGGCAGGTGAGCGGCTGGAAGCGCTTTCTTCCCACCGAACCTGAGGTTCTCCGGCCTTTCCATGCCTGCCCGAGCAGGACGCTTACTTCATTTGGCAGTTCCTCATCACGTTGGAGACATTGGGGTGCCGCAAACGTTGACTCTGGGTCCCTCACTAAATAGGCTGAAGCAGTAGGGAATGCTTACCGTGTTTTCAGATGACATAAGACTGAGGTGGGGGAGAATTCTCTAGAAGAGAGAACCAAGTTTAAAATTCGTTAGATAGGATAGGGAAATGAGCTCAGTTTTTTTTAAAAAACGAAATTTAAACAAACCTTCCACTGAAGGAACAAAAACAGACGGGTGTGGAATAGAGGGCCCGGCTTGATAGTGGTAGTAGTGAAACTGTATCGGATGGCAGACGGAATATGAGCCGGCCATGGAATGTAGCCGCAGAGAAGACAAGGGAGGTTTAGGCCACGTCAGCAGAAGCATAATCCCCGCAGTCCCAGAAAGCTCTTGTCTCAAGCGATTCTGCCTTGGTCAGACTTCGGCTCGGCTGTCATGGCCGCTTCTTGGCACCAGCTGTAAGGAAGAGTCACAGAAATTGGAACCCATTCAGAGGCAGCCAGTGAGGGCCAGCTCTGCCAAGAGATTGAGACCAGATGGCCGGGGGCGATAATGGCCCCACTTCAAGGGGAGCCGGAGAACCACTTGGTCGGATTTCAGATTCCTGGACTTGGTTTGATTTGGGGCCTTCACGGCCCCTCCCAGGAGGAGGACTGTGCCTTTGTCGGAAGGGTGCAGGCCCCCCCCGCCCCACAGGGTTACAGGCCCCTCCCCAGAGGTCCTTCCTGGGGCTTGCAGAGTGCAGAGCATCGGTCTAGGTTGGGTGAGGGCTGGGCAGGACATTTTGGTAAGTTGGAGGGATGCATATAATGATGGGTGGGAGGTCAGTCCTGGGTGGGGTTATTATTCAGAGTGGAACAGTCTGGATGGGAGGTTGATTTCATGCGGAGGCCTGTTTTTCAAAAGGTTTCCCATCGAGTGTCCACTGTGACATGGTTATCCTGCATTTCCCGTCTTAAGGATTGTGGGCAGAGCGTCCCAAGGGCCCTGGAGGTTGTACAAGGACATTTGGGGAACCGCCCAGCTTTCAGCTACTGTAGATGGTGTGGATTCTACCTCTGTGGTAACATTTTCCCTGCTTTAATTGATCCTTTTCTCCTGCTCCAGATTGTGGAAATGAAACCGCAAAGCAGGAGCGCTATCACGAGGCCGTTCTCCTCTTTACCGAAGCTATTAAGCTGAACCCCCAGGAGTACAGGTGAGACTGGATTGTTGGAGGGTCTGGCCTGGCCGCCTTGTCCTCCTTGCCCCCGGACGGAATCAGGGTGTCTGGACTTGAATTCAAGCATTTTCTGCCAGTTGATCTACCTCTGTCACCCAGTGCAGGCAGTGGTTCAGGCTGCATTTGGGTCCTGAGAAGTGGTGCTCGGGGCAAGGAGAAGCTTTGGCTTCTGTGGGTGTCTGGCACAGGCCGAGGGAGACGTGTGTGTAAAACACTTCATGGATCAAATAAGCCCCGTCTGTCTCTAGACTGTTGCCTTGGCCTTCCTCCTGCCTCCCACAGACCGTCACAAGTACTTTACTCCTGTGTACAAGTGAGGTTGGAGTAGTGAGAGGGTGGTGGTGGCCGCAAAGTCTTCCTGACAGAAATCCAGTCGCTTTCTAAAAAAACCGGCTGTGCTACTTCTTAAAAATACGTGTCCTCCTTAACACAATTCAGTTAAAACTGCCTGGAATGACCTGCCTGATCTCCCTTGAACCGCATGACCCGATTGGAGGAGATTGTCTGGGAAACTAAGCATGGGAAAAAGCGGGTGGCAGGGAAGGGGATGCCTGGCGTGGCCAATTCGTCTTGAGGTCGGAGATTTGGTTGTTTGGCAAACTATGGAAAGTGTTGTGTAGGAAGCTTTTTGCCTGATGAAGGCACGTTGTTACGTGCCTGATTTAGCTACTCACATTTTGGTGGAGATTTATAAAATGGCGGGTCTCTTAGTAAATGGAGGGAGTTGCTGGAGGAGGTGGATGTTGTGCTTGTGCTGTGTGGGTGCAGGGAGGGCTGAGGAGAGGCTCCCTGGAGAAGGGAGGGCCCAGCGGGAGCAGTATCAGAAAGGGAGCCTTGCGGAGTCAGCTGGCCTTGGGAAGGAGAGTCACCCGGGAAGGCTTGGCCAAAGCCCTGGAATTCCTGAAGGTTATTTTTCCCTCTTTCCATCCCCCCCCCTCTCTCTCTGGGCTGAAACACTGAAAGGAGCTGTAAGCATTTCAGTAGAGTAATAAGACATTTGTGTGGTCTAGCCAGGGAGGGAATGAGGCCCCTGGCGCCCAGGCAGCTCTGCATTTGGTGTGTTGAGAAACCACGTCCAGAAAGGCAGATAAGTGAACGTGCAAAGAGCTCCTTGAACGAAGGACACGGTCAGCACAACCTGTTCCTTGGGAGAGCCCTTTAGCCACAAGCCCTGCGATAGAGGGAGGAGCAGCATCGTGTTTTCCCTCTCCTCCTCCACCCTCTGGCAAAGCAGCCCCAGTTCTCAAGGTGGGGGGGAGGAGGAGGAGGAGGAGGAGTCTCCTCGTGTGGACAGCATTTCTGACGGTGCAGGAGGAGCAGCCCACCTGTTCTGAAGGGCCTCTGACCTTACCCTCTCCCCACCTGGACCTAGGTCTGTAGTGGCCAGAAAGCCTGGGCTAATTTGGCTCCTCTCCCGTCTCTCTGCTTGAGCAAACAACCTTTCAAGATGGGAAGTTTTGCCGATTGCTCTGGGCGATGATGCGCAAGACGTGAACGTGAGAGGGATCCAGGGTACTGTTTCCCTTCTGCCTGCTCGCCAGCCCCACCTTTGTTCTGTTTTCAAGGCAGTCATAAAGAGAGAATAAAGTGACGGGCTTTTGCCTTCCCCTCAGTTTCTTCCATCTGCCGGAGAAGGATATGGGAACCCCCTCCAGCAAGCCGAGTGCACCGCTAGGACAACGTCAGCGTTACGCTAAGCCACAGGTGGCTTAGGAAAGTGGAGGGCGGGCAGGGCCAACACTGGGGCTCTCGGGGTGGCTGGATGGACCCCAGGAGGGTTCCCAGTGCTTGAGCAGGTAGCCCCAGTTGCCCAGGCATCCTGGAAAGGGGAGCTAAATGGGCCTAGAGAATATTCCTGACCGCCGAGCTGTAGGAGTTGATGAATTATCGGCCAAACTGTTTCAAATCTTGCAGCACAATCTGGTTAAATGCTGTTGTGGCTGGTGAGCAATTATGCAGCGGTCAAGGGATTGGAAAAGATCGATATATATTCCAGGCTGAAAAAAGGGAAGTGCTAAGGGATGAAGGGCATTCATGTTCTGCTGAGATGAGGCTCAAGATTTTGCAGGCCCCAGAACAGCCAGAAGGGCAAGCTAGATTCTGAAGCGGCAGAGACGCCTAACGCCGCACGGCCGCCCTCCAGAGAGCAACAGGAAAGAGACACAAAAGTTGAAGGCAACCAACAAAGAGGCTGGCTGGATCTCTCTCGGATGAGACAGGCCGGGCACGGCAGAAACTCGGAGGGGCGGGCAGGTGGTGGCAGTCCAGGAGAAACGACGGCACGGAGATCGGAGGTGGCTGCACAGCGCCAGTGGCCACCTGGGGAAACCGCTCTGTCTTCTGAAGCCGCCAGCACAGAGGGGCAGCTGTGGGGGCAGAGTAGCTGGGCCGAATCCTCAGGAAGGCTGGCTTTGGCCCCGCCCTCCTGAGCCCCCTGGAAGAAGGGGGACAAAGGCCCATGGGTGGGCGTGCTCTGCCTCAGAGGATCCTCTGCTTGCCGCTGTTTTGCCCTCCTTTCTCCAGAGGAATCGGTGCCCTGGCGCTGCCCTTCGTTTCCTTTTACAAGAAGCCGGTGCTGGAGGCGGGCGCCAGGGAGAGCGGTGGGCGTCAGGTGCCCAGTGAGCCTCATTGCGTAGCTGGGTGGTCTCCCAAGCCTGGCACCTGGGTTCTTGGGGGAGGGCGGACACGGGGCCCCCACTGGGCCTCTCCCAGTCCCTGGCCTCGGAGGCTTTGGGGACAATGCCGGGCGTTTGGAAGGTGGCCCTGAAGTGATCTGGAAGGGAGAGGGACAGAATCATTTTTGGCATGTTTCTGCTTCCGACCTTGAGGCCCAGGTGCCCAGGGGTGCCTCGGGGAGAGGCTGGTTCAGCCTGGGATGTGCTTTGGAGAGCTCCATGCCGGGCTGTGAGGCAGATTCCGCTGCCGGCTGCGGTAAGTGGACGCAGAGGGGGCTTCCTGGGAGGAAGAGCGCTGCCTGACCTCTGTTCCTCCCCCCTCCGCCCCCAGGTTCTTTGGGAACCGCTCCTTCTGCTACGAGAGGCTGCAGAGCCACACGGAGGCCCTGCGGGATGCGCAGCACGCACTCAGCCTGCAGCCGGGCTGGCCCAGAGGCCTCTTTCGCCAGGGCAAGGCTCTCTTGGGCCTCAAGGTACTCCAGGCCAGAGGGGCAGAGCGGGCGGAAGGGGGGGGCTCTGGGGGAGGTCTGGCACCGGGCGCCCTGCACAGGGTAACTCTCCCGCCTGTTCCCCAATCCCCAGCGATACCCGGATGCAGCAAGGATGTTCCAGCAACTCCTCCAGTTCGATGGCTTCCGTGGCGATGCAGCCATCCAGCTTCAGAAGTGCCGGATCCAGCATTTACTGGTGAGCAGGGGGGGGGCTTCCTTTCAGAGCTCGGCTCTTGGGTCAAGCCAGGTCAGTCTGCTGCAGGTGGTTTGCCCAGGTCAAGCGGACATTTAGCTCGTGAGACGACGTGTTTGCTTGGCCTCTGTGGAGGGAAACGGCCAGCCGGCCAGGAGGAGCTTTGGGGGACAGGAGGCCTCCAGGGGCGAGCCGGCTGTTTCTGCAGCGGTTCCCTTGGCGGGAGCTGCCCACCCCCACATCCTCAGGGGGCCCCCTTCTGGTCCCTCCTCGGCTGGCTGGCCTGCTGGTGGCTCTGACGCCCGGCCTTCTCTCCGGCCCCCAAGGCCTCTCCCCTGCCTTCCCGGCCAGGGCCGCCCGGAGCCCCCCCCAGAGTCCCCTCGAGGTGGTCAGTGGGATCGTTTCCTTGGCTTGACGAATAAGCCACTTTGCGCTGCCTTCAAGCCAGAATTGCTGGGTCTCTGCCCAAAGTAAACAAGCCATGCTGGGCTTACAATGCTGTATCAACCTAGCATGCCCGAGTTCACGCAGCCCATGACGCACGGGTGGCCAGCTCCACCTGGCATGCAGACGGTGGCATCCCATTGTGATGGCATCCAAGAACAGCTGCCACCACCTCTGTGATACTGAGCCATAACCCCCCACCCCCCCATAACCCCACTGGAGCCTCTCTGGCTTGAAGGATGCGGCCGGGGCTTCTGCACTGCTGGCCGAGACTGACCCGGTCCCCTTTCTTTTGCAGGAGAGCCGGCTAGGCTGCTCCCGCCACGACCGGGACGTCCTGCCTGCGGAAGCGCAGCTGCCTCTGTCTGGTAAGCAGTGGGGGGCTTGGGTCAGTCCCTGGTCAGTGCTAAGCCTTGCCGACAACGGGCACAGGGTGGACAATGGCGGGTGTGCAGAGACCAAGCTGTCACTGCCCCTCACCTGTCACTCTCTTTCTCCCTGCTGGTCAAGGAAAGCAGCCAGCAAGGCAGTGGTGCCCAGACAGCAGTGCCCAGGCCATTGCCACCACCCGGCTGGCACCTCCAGCTGCAAAGGCCCCAGTCAGGTGAGGAGGGGGAGGAAGCGTCTTACGTGTTCTGACATACGTGAGCAGAGGCAGCCCCAGCCAGGCCAGGCTCCGCTTGGGGGAGACACAGACTGACTCTTAAAAAGTGAATCTAGGACAACAAAATTATAGCCAAACATTCAGCCAGGGTCCAAGCACGTTAACGGCTGATCTACCCCCAGGCAGAACCTCTCGGCTGTCCTCTCCCTCCTCCGGCTCTCTGCGTAGACCCTTCACAGGGCAGCCCCAGGCGCGTCTCTCCTTAGGGCCATTTCTTCTGCTCGGGGACCCTCACTCAATTGCCCAGCTGGGTCTACCCCCCTCCCTTCCCTAAACTCAGCAGCTGGGGGAGTGGCCTCAATGCTCGGGCAGATTCACAGCACAGAGGCAGGCCTGGGTTGGGTTGGGTTGGCAGTCCCTGAGCTGCAGCACCAAGGCTCAGGAAGGCCCCAGGGCAGACCACGGGGCAGGCCAGGCTGGATCCTTCGGCACCTGCACCTCCTCCCAGGCCCAGCTCCAGAGCTGAGTGTTGCAGTAGTCAAGACAGGATGTGGCCAAGGAGTGGCTCACCACTGCCAAATCCAGAGCGCAGGAGGGCTGCCGCCGGTCCACCAACTCGGGGCCTGCCAAGCACACCCCTTCCAGAGCTGCCAGCCGAGGATCAAGGCCCCTCCCAAACCGCCAAAGACGGGGGTTGGGGGAGGCGGAGGGAGCCCCTCCCATCGCTGCTTCTCCCGGGGGGGGGGTATTGTCTCCGCTCTGCCCTTGTGATGGCTGCCGCCCAGGAGCAGGTTGGCTGGTCAGATGGATCCCCAGACCCTTTGGAATTGGGTGAGGGTAGAGCAGCCCAGGGGTCTCCTGTTCCTGGGGGTGACCCACGTGCTCCCTTGCAGGGAGTGGTTCGCTGTCTGGGTGGGAAACCTGGCACCCAGGATCACCCAGCAAGTTCTGCTTCGCTATTTTCAGCCGTAAGTCTGCCTGCTCTGGGGTTGGGGGTTGTTTGTGGGTCCCCCCTCCCCTTCTGAAGACCAGGAGGCACCCCGTGGAAGCCAGGGGCTCCTCCCGCGCAGACTCGGGTGCTGTGACACCAACTTTCTTTGGGGCAGGTTTGGACCCATCGACTCCATCCGGTGCCTCCCTCACAAGTCCTGTGCCTTCGTCAACTATAGCCGTAAAGAGGCCGCCGAAGCCGCCTACGCGGCCCTGCAGGTGCGGCTCCTTCCTCCCTTCGCTGGCCCTGAGGTGGAGGTCAGGATCGGGTCCCTGCCAGCGCGCTTCCCTCACCGTGGGTTTCTCCCGTCTTTCTCCCAGGGGGCCGAAGTGGAAGGATGCAAGCTCCTCCTGCAGCTGAAGCACCCGGCACACGCCACCGCGGCCCCCTCCAAGGCAGCCCCCCGCCACTGCCTCTCCTCCTGGGCGTGAGGGCCGGGCTGGGCTGAGGGCGGAGGACACGGAGGCTCGCCAGGGACGGTCTTGGCCCGGCAGGAGGGCTCGCCATGCCTGCGAGCCGGCTGCTGCGGAGAAGAAGGCTCTTGGAGGGAGCCCCAGAGGGAACGGGTGGGGGGAAGCGTGGCCGCCCCTTCTTTCTCTGATGCCTGCTGCCCCGGCCCGGTCTGCTTTCGGGGCTGTTCCTGAATTGGCCCCTTCCCGGAAGGAGGAGCTGGCAGTCCGTGGAGATGCTGTAAGGGAGACGGAGGTTCAGCTCTACACCCGATTTGTGGGGTCGACCTCCCCTCCACCCTCTGAGCAGGAGCAGAGACGGATTTGGGGACACAAAAGGGGAGAAGGAGAGACACACACACACACCATCAAGCAATGCCTGTCTTGGGTGCTGTGTTTGGGAGAGGGCTTCCCTCCCGCTGCCCCACAATTCTTGTGCTCTGGGGACTCCTTCCTCACATGCGCCTCCGAGAGGACTTTCCTTGGGCCTTCGTTGAGGGGCTCCTTTGCCTGCCCCCCCGCGCCCCCCCCCTCGCCCTGCTCAGGGACTGACACTGGTTGCCTTATTTTTATATGGTTCACAATAAACCTATGAAAAACCACCCCTGTCGCGCCTGGCTTTCCTTCCGCCGAGCCCTGCAGGGGGGGGCCTATGGCTGAGGTTGCTGGTCCTCCCAGCAAGTGCTGCAGCCCCAGCTGGCCCCAGGCTTGGTCAGGAATGGGCTGCCCCTTGTGGACCCCCTTCCGCCACAGCTTGACCCTTCCTCCTCTGCTGACAGGGCCCACGATTCCCTTCCCAGACACCCTTGGAACTGGCTCTGCTCTCCGCCTCGCCTCTCCTTTAGGGCTCTCTGCTGTGGCTTCCTCCTTCCTGCATGCCTGCTGTTCCCCCCGCCCACCCCCATCAGCCTGGGTGGTGTCCTCTCTCCCCCCTGCCCCCACCACCTTTCCCCTTTGGGGCCTGGCTGCATTTTCTCCCCTGTGTCAGGCTGACTGAGACTCTCCCGAGTCTTTCTTGCTGCGAGTCGGGCCGCTCTTCTCTTCCCGGGCAGAACTAGCCTCTGCCCACCTTCCTGCCAGCTAGGCTGCTCCTCCTCCTGGGGATCCTTCTGCCCAGCACCTGGCACTGGGCCAGGAACACTTGCCGCCCTGCTCATCCCCTCCGGAGCTGCTGGGCCTCGGCTGAAGGAGCAGCCACCCACGGCTGCTGGCTGCCCCCCTCCCTCCCAGGGCACCGTTTGCGCCCCAGCCGGCCTGCGAGGGAACAGTCCTGCCCTTGCAGGCTCTCAGTGCTGCGGAAGGGGGGGGGATGGGGGTGTCCTGCTGCTGAACCTGACAGCAGCTGCCGCCACCCGCCCCTCCTCCAGGGGTCCCGCCTTTCCCACCCCCGATTTCATGGGTCTCCGGTTCAGGTATCCGAATTTCCGTTCCCAGGATGGGGATTTCAGGCAGCTGGGGCAGGCCAGCCCCCCAGGGGACACTGAGGCCGCCGGGGGTCTGGATGCCCCGAGGGAGAGCAGCGTTGCCAGCCTTCCTTTGGCGGGCCAGGGGCACGGGGTGGTGGGCCAAGCCCTGCGTTGGGGGGGGGCGCCCTACAGGGCGAGGAAAGCGGGACTTCTCCCTCTGGGACGAGCCAAGAGGAGAGAGATCTCTTTGGCACTCCTGCCCCCCCCCAGCCTTTTGTTCGCTGGATCTGCCCCAAGGCCGGGAGGGAGGGAGATCCGTGGCTGGCAAAAGTGCTGCTGACCTGTTTGGGGTTGCCGGGTCTCCAGCAACTGTCGTCCCTCTCGCCCGGACTGGGAGGGCGTCACTTCCCGCGTCTCTTCCCTAAGCCCCTTCCCATCCCTCGGCCCGAAGGGGAAGAAGAGCTTTCTCCCGCTTCCTTTTTATTTTTTTTAATGAGTTTTGATACGTGGGTTTCACTCGCTCTTGTCACCGTTTCATGAGGAGGGCTTCTTCCCCTTTTCGGTTTGCCAAGCGGGGTTTTTGAAGGCTGCAGAAGCTGCTTCATCTGTTTTACAAGGTGAGATTCAGAGGAGGCCGAGTCAGGCCCAGCCACTTGTGCTCAGCCTGCCTTTAGTCAATTTGCCTCACTGCACGACCAGTTTCTGATGGCATCTGGGGGGGGGGGGATTGCCAAACATATTTCTGTGTCAGGGTCAGCTGAAACCTGATAGTTCTGCCTGAAATTCAGGAGATAGATGGAATTTTATTTATTATCCCCTGGTAATTTATGTTTTCAGCTAGAATATTAGCTATAGAGTCAGTGACCTGGGACAATCCAGGGTTATGGGTAGAGGTCCCTAAAGTTTACATTTTTACAGTTTATTTATATATCAAATTTATATGGCTGTCCATCTCACAGTATCCTTTAAAGAGAAACCTCATGCCCCTACTTCTGTTTAGGGGAGCTGAGGAGGAGGAGGAGGGGAACACCTGTGGGCTCCCATAGTCACAGAGGGGGAGAGAGGCTATGAGCATGGGGCCTATGCGCACACACAAGGCTCCTCTATATGGCCTGGGGGGGGATTCCTTGGGGTCCTTGTGGGTGGCTGCACCTCATTGTTCACAAAGACAAATAGACCAAATACATGCACAGACAATTAAGACAACTGTTAACTTTTCTTCTTTTTGGTTTTTTTTTTGGGGGGGGGGAGTGTGAAGGCTGAAGCACAAGAGAGACTGCCTCCTTCCTACCCTTTCCACGGAATCCTCCTGAGACGTCTTAGATGGAGCTGCACGGGGCAACTGGCACAAGGCAAGAAGAGGCAGATGCACGAGTAACAAGATACTTGCAGACCGCCTGGGTCAAATTACTCTTCTACTTTGGCCCAGGAAGCAGGAACTGTAACTGCACAACAGAATTGGAAAGGACCTCAGAGGTCTTCTAGTCCAACCCCCTGCTCAAGCAGGAGACCCTCTGCCATTTACCCTGTTGGAGCCCCCACAGCGTCTAGAGGCAAGGTCGTTCCACAGATTAATTGTTCTCACCATCAGGGAATTTCTCCTTAGTTCTAGATTGGATCTCTCTTTAATAAGTTTCCATCTGTTGCTTCTTGTCCTGGTGTCAATAGGCCTAAGCCCCTCCTCTCTGCGGCAGCCCCTCAAATTGATTAGAAGGCTGCTGTCCTGTCACCCTTGGTGGTTCTCTTCATTAGGCTAGATGCAGCCACGACTCCCTTGACTTAACTGTCGAGATACAGTTCTAGCTTTGGCTTCTTTCCAGCCCAGCCGGCCTGCTCAGCACATCCTGCTTGGAAAATGGCCTGGCCAGCCGAGCTGCCTGGGACTCGCACCAGGCTTCCCTTGGGAGAAGAGCGCCAGGCCCAGTAACCACCACCAAAACCATGTGCCAACAGCTCCGTTGCATAAGGCTACCTTGATGGCAACCTAAACCATGCACAACTCTCCCCACTCTAATTGGTCCTCCGCCAGCTGGTTCAAGGGAGGAGGGGATGCAGAGGATCCCCTGGGCCACTGGCCAGGCCTCACCGGAGCAGGTCCCTGGATCCCACTGCTGACACCATGAACTGCCGTGGACTCTGTCTGAAGGAGGAGGGCAACACTGAGGAGAACCCTCTTTATTGCAAGGATCACCGGGCGCCTTCCTTCCTAGAGAGAGGGACCGAAATGACGGGAAAGCAAAGGGCTGCAAGGCTGGCCGCTTTGGGGGACCTGGGCAGGTCGTCATCCACCTCTGTACCCGCCTGGGATTATTTCTGCGGTTGGGCAAAGCTGGCCTTTCAGGAGGGCAGCCCGGCTGGAAAAGCCCCGCATGAAGGTTGGGCTTCTCTAGGCGGCAATTCCCTGGGTAGGGCTGCCCTTGGCTGGGCTGTGGCAGGCAAGGGGGCTCCTCCGATTCAGAGGGGCTTGCAGGGGGCTTTGCCAGGGGCAGGGAGGGTCAGCCAGGAACTGTGCTGGGCCTGATCCAGTCGAAAGGGGGGAGGGGCAGCCTTGTATCTATTGCATCTACTACTTCACTTCGGGGGGGGGGGACATCGTGCCTCTGCTGCCCCTCCCCCCCTTAGGGAATGGCAGGCAGGGAGGAGGAGGACGGTGCCCTGGTCGTGATTCCCGGGGGGGGGGGGAGGGCTCCAGGTGAAGGAGCTGGAGACCCACCCACCCTCTCGCTCTGAGAATTGGATTAAGATGCAAATGACGGAGGAGGCACCAGAAGAGTAATTAATCACCAGTTAGAGGAAATTAATACCAACAACGGAGGGTGTCAGGAAGCAGCCAGGCAGCTAATCAAGCGGAAAATTGGACAAGGAGCCGGGCTGAGAGGGGAGCCGCGGGGCGGTTCGGTAGGCCGTCGACGGGGCGGGGGGCGCTGGATTCCCCCCCCCCCGCGGCACTGCCGCTCGAGCGGCTGCCCCATGGCTGGCCGGACGCCCTTCCGGGGCTGAGCGGGGGCAGCGCCTCAGCCCGCGAGGCCCTCCGAGGCGGGCGGTTCCCCGACGTTCAAGGCAGCGCTGGCCCCGCCCCGCCCAGGGCTCTTGCGGAGAGCGCCTTTGCGGGGCTCCGGCTCACCGGCCGTCGGGGGAAGCGGCGGCGCCGCGCTGAGCGGAGCAATAGAGCGCGGGGCACCGCGGGAGCGTCTCGCCCGGCCGCTGCGGACAGAGGGCTCCGCCCCGCCAGCTCGCCTTCCCGGCTGCCAGTCAGCTTTGTGCCCTGGGGGCGTCAACGTCCTTGGGCCGCTTCCCTCCCGGGAGGCCCAGCAACGGCTAGAGGTCTGCGCGTTGGGCTTTCTCTTAGTCGGACAGCTCCCGCGGGCCACGCCGTGCCCAGGGGCCCCGGCAGCCTCAGAGCGGCCAGAGAAGAGGAGGGCATGGGGGGGGGGCGTCCGGCTCGCTCCCCTGCTCGCCCCTCCTGGTCAAGAAAGGCTGGGGGTGGCGCAGGGCTCCCCCTTGGAAGGAGCCTTCGCGAAGGCTTCTCTCTCCTTCCTCCCGAGGCTCTGGGCCGCTCGCTCGCCAGGGAGCTCC